CTGGTGAGATTCTATGTGCGGTTTGATCCTTAAAGCAGAGCTGAGAGTGTGGCCTGCACTTTGCCACCAAGTTGAAAGACTACCATCTTCCCTTGACTCTCAGAGGAACCCTGGGGCTAAACCCTCAGGCAAAACATTGTGTGAGTCTCCTGGTACACTTCCATGAGGGAAGAGGTAATGATGGGATAGATGGAGTTTCTCCCATCATGAGCTCAGGGCCACATCCAAGAAGCCTGGATCACTGAAGACCACAGAGCTCCCCCACCCCCCAGCCCTAAGCTGCCTGCATCCTGGCTTCTTTTATGCTTATTTCTGCAAATACTTGGAGGCTTTCTCTTCCTTGCAACTGGACCCATACCCAATGTTGTTGTTCTCACTAAGGGCCCAGGACGCGGGTGAGACCACTGAGATGAGTCCCTGCAGGTGTCCAGAAAGGAGCTTAGGCAGAGCCAGCAGAACATCCAGAGAACTCACATGATGGCTAGGTGAGCTGGGTCTGAATGAAGGGAAAAACTAAGGCTCTGAAGACTGGGAACGGGTAGATACCGTATCACATATGCCGAAGTAAGTTTAATTCAAGGCCAAGGCCTATGAGAGAGGGGACTCCGAGTAACGGGGCTGCAGGCCAGGAAGTCGGTGCCCCGAGCCAACGGCAGTCAATTGCTCTGCCAACAATTGAGGAGGCCTTGGTTATCTTTTTTAAGGAATCTGGTTAATGCGTTCCCTTCGGCTACTTAGGGCTGTGATTTATAGACAGCGAAGTCACTTAGGATAATAAAACCCCCAGGCCTGGTGGCAAACTGCTGAGATTTTTCAAGAAGAAAGGCACCATTTAAACATCTCAATCAGCTTTTCTCCAGTGAGTGATATCCTGAGGAAACAGGCTTCAAACGTATCTCCATCCTTCACACATTCAAGAAGAAAGATGAGAGAAATTGAGGGGAGAAACTACTCGAAGGGCTGCATTCATTTCAAATATCTGACATTAGGAGTCGTGTCACGGGTTTGTGAGACCTCAACAGGCAGGGGTCCACCATTCGCCTCTTACTTATTTCTAAAAGCTCTTAGTTGACTTAGAATTCTTGGCTTAAATATCAACTGGTATTTCAGGCCAGCCTGGGCTGTGTAGCAGATCCTGTTTCAAAAGAGAAAAGGAAAGGCTGTGTGTGACAGTATACGCCTTTAATCCCTGCACTTGGGAGGCAGAGGCCATTGGTGGATCTCTGTGTGTTCAAGGCCAGCCTGGTCTACATGTTGACTTCCAGGATTGCCAGAGCTACCTAGTGAGGCCTTGTCTCAAAACAAAACAAACAAACAAAAGAAGAAGAAAAAGCAAAAACAAAAAAGAAACAGAAGAAGGGAAGGAGGGAGGAGGAAGTGAGAGAGGAAAGGAGACATTGAGGACAAAGGCAGAAAAAAAAGAAGAGAGAAAAGAGGGGAGAACGAAGGGAGAGAAGGAGGAAGAAGAAGAAGAGAGAGAGAGAAAGGAAAAGAAGCAAAGAGACAGGGGGAAGATGAAGGCAAAAGAGAGAGAGAAAAAGAGAGAGGGGGTCCATTTGAATGTGTCTGTTCTGTAATAGGAATACGTGTCATTTTAAAAATAGCTAATCTTCTATACATTACACCCAGCTGGGCTATGGCCTTTCTGTCCAACATCTTTTCTTTCCAAGTGAATAAAATCCTAAACTCTGAACATAACCTTTGTCCGTAGAAGCACCATGCTGACAATGAGTGTCTCAAAGTAGCCTCATTCCCCTGGGTCACGGCGCAGCAGGGACACGCTCAGCCACAATGGCTCTACACTCGAAAGGGAGGATTTAAGAGAGAATCCTGTTGTCCCCTGTGTCTACAAAGCACCAAAAGTCATAAATGGTGTTCTGAAATTGGAAACAAGGAAATAAAACAGGTAGTCCATTCTCAGACAGACGCTCTCCCCAGTAAAAACTCTCCTTACATAAACGTGAAATCTTCATGGAAATAAAGACCATTTGGTTTACCTCATGTGCTAGCTTGCCTGAGTTAAGGGTGCCCAAATAGCTGGTCACACATTCTCCGTGGATATGGATGTGGATGCGGGACTGTCTCCAAAAGACAGGAGCATCAGAAACCAGTTCCCTCCTTCTACTGTGGGTTCTGGGACTTGAACTCAGGTTTGCGTGGCAAGTGGTTTTTTTATCCACTGAACCATCCTGCTGGTCAGAGACGAGGAACTGACTCAGAAGACTGGGGTCATTGCCCTCACGACTGTGGCATGAGCCACCCAGTGTAGGCCTGCATGGATGGAAGGTGAGGAAGGATGAGTCAGTCCTCTACCGGAACTGGGCTGTCCATCTTCTGCCCTCAGACACCAGCACCCCACCTTCACACTCCGCCTGGACCTGCCCTGGTTCTCGGGCTTCAGGCTCGGACTAGAGCTGTACGGCCAGCTTTCCTGGACCTCCATCTTGCAGCCATCAGCTCAGCCTCCATGATCATGGGATCTGACCTGACCCCTTGCGATAAATCTCTACATAGCTGTGTGTTGGCTTTACGCCTCGGAAGAATGCTGACCAATATACCAATATATACTGACCAATATTACCAACCAAAAGAAAAGTGGTGGTTAGTGCTTTACTGCTGTGTGGGAGTCAGCCGGAGTCCTTTGCCATGGCAGGTACACAAAGGCAGTAGAGGAACCAGAAAGCTTTGGAGTAGAAAAGGGGTGAGGTGCCGAGTGGAAACAGCGAGCAGGTTGGCAAAGGCAAGCCATGCGCTGTCACTGGACAGGGCGTGTAGTCTGACTCTCTGGTTGATCCCAAGTGAGAAGGAGAGACAAAATTAAGAAAGATCCTGGTTATCTATCACGTCCATTTTGTGTGGAAGATTGTTCAAGTCTCTGGACTGTCACCAGGGACCACTGTCTGGAGTCCGGCACCGACCGGCTGCTTTCCTGAGCTGTGTCTCGAGAATCAGGGGGTGGTTTCCTGAAGAGAAGGCCCAGGTCGAGGTGAGGACTCTGTTGTCTTATGTGCTCAGGGGCTGGTCCGTGTGCACATTCTCGCTCTCATCTTTCAGACAGGCAGCTGTGTCTAGCCGGCAAGGTAATTTCCAGCATATCTAGAGAGCCACTTTGAGAGAAGCTAATTGTCATGGGACATCCTGTCCGGGTATACGAGGATGTTCAAGCCTACTCTCCCTATGACAGCAAGGAAGAAAGAGGAGGCTCGGCTTCTAGCAGCTTCAGAGAGCTCTAAGGGAAAAGGTTCCTGCCAAGGCTGAGAGCCCTGTGGACAGCTCTGAACACCCCCTCACCCAGCCTCTTGTCTTAAAGGTGCTGCTGAAACCAGGCAAGGCTGAGCACTGAACCACCATCACCATCAACCTCCCGTGTGATTTTAAGATGCAGCCCAGATTGGCAGCTCACGACCAACATGAATAATAACCTCTGAGAGACACCAAGGAAGCGCTTAGCAATTAGTGACCACGAAATCAGGGCAGGTAGCCAGGAAGCGTCTAATCGTTCAGTCCTAGAATGCTGAGCATGAAAAACATAAAATGAGCGTGAGGCTAAAGCAGAATAGCAAATAGGGAGAGGTAGGAACATCTGGGAGCAAGCAAAACGAGGAGAAAGCCACAGCACAAATAAATGCATGTGCAAAGAACAAATGAGAGCATTTGAGACTCCTTCAGGCCAGATGGGGCGCCAGAGCTGAGAGGGACCTGTGGACTCCGGTTCCCACCCCCACCCAAGGTGCTGTTGACAGCTGACTCCTGCCTGCCAGCGAAGGGAAAATCCGTTTTCTCCAATGGGTGTCACTGGGCTTACGGATGACACTCCAAGGCAGGCCTCATGCCCACAGGCAGTTGGCAAACACAAAATGAACTCCATGGATTTGGTGTTTTGTTTGGGTTTTTAATGTTGTTTGTTTTTGTCTGTTTTGTTTTGTTTTGTCTTGTTTGGGGTGGGTTGTGGGGGTATTTTTTTCATTTTTTAGTTTTGATGGGTGTTTGTTTTGTTTTTGAGAAAGAGAGATAGAGAGAGAACATAAAGGTGTGTGGGAAGGGAAGTCCTAGGGGAGGAAAATAGCATGATCAAGAACATTACAAGAAAAAAAAATTTTAACGGCCCATCTCTGTTGAGCCACACCCTTTGTTTTTGTTTTTAACTATTAAAAATGTTATTTTCTTGTCGAAAATGCCAGTTTATCATAGTATATTTTTCGTGTGATGCACATAATCTTGATATAAACATGAGAATTTTGGCCATAGAAACTCTGAAGTCTGCACAGAGAGAGAGGAAAAGAGGGAGGAAGGAAGAGAGTGGAGCGGGAGGGAGTGGATAGGGAAGGAGGGGAGAGGGAGAAGAAGGAGGAACAAAATCTCACAGACGCCACTTTCAGTTACCTACTTTTTATTGTCATTTGTAAATTTTCAGAGGCTCTGGTTCATTTAAGTTTGATACAACATCGCCCCCTGGTGGAAATCAATAGAAAGGTGCGTGCTTGACTTAGCAAGAATCTTAGCGCGCGCGCGCACACACACACACACACACACACACACACACACACACACACACACAC